AGAATATTTCCCGTTTGTTCTGTCTACAGCAATTTGCCAGGAGCCATGCCTTATTATCAAGGAACAAAGAATTAACTTCCTTGCTGATAGGGATGTTTAGAAAATAAAACACCATTATTCATAGCTGTACTTCCAGTAAGACCAAACAGTCCCTTTTCAGATATCGGCAGGTGGAAATCTCAGCAGAAAGATGCATGTTTGTCGTTATGATTCCTGATGACCTTTCTTGGTTTTACTCTCCCCTGATAGTGAATGCCTACTGGTGTTTTTAACCTCCTGAAGTGAATTGTGGCTTGTTGCAAAACACCATTAATTTATATTTAACTACCTAGGAATTTCCTCCTTTAACTGCATTGGCCAGTGTCCCAATTTAGGCAACTCATGCCACAATTTGTGACTGTTTTATGAACTACTTCATGAAGGTCAGAGTGGTGGTTATTGGAATGACAAAGCCATGGGGGAGTTGTCTGCATTCTGCTGAACCACATTTTTTTTTTTAATGTGAAGCGTTACAACATATTTTAATATGTATATTTTGAATATGACAGGACACAGCAAGTATTTTATCCACCCTCCTCAAGAATCAAGCAAGCCCGGGATCCTGAGACCAGATCTTTAAGGAGACATATTGCAACTTCCATTACTTGCTTCAGGTACCTACACTCTCTAACTGCACCCCAACATGACAGAGCGTGCGTTCTTACAAAACCTATTGCCCAGCCTGGGCAGAAACTTACTGTTTTATCTAAACACTATCAAGCCAGGACCTTAAGGGGACACAACAGCAAGCTTTATTTGCTGAATTTATATAAACAAGCTTTATTTGCTAAATTTGTATGAGCCTTCAAAACCTTAAGCATTTGTGACATCCTTTATTGTGCACTTACTCACACTTTACTATGCACATCATCACCTTCCACATTTTGTGATCACATTTTCCACACGAGGTGTAATTAATTTCTAAAGCAAAATTAGCCCTTATCAGTCTTAACTGTTTAAAGAAATGAGATTGCAAATTGTCCTTCACTTATATGTGATTTAGAATCACAGTCTCTCAGAAAATCTGCTGTAAAACCAAGTTAACAACCTCAAAAAAGACGTGGAAATAATTCCTCATTTCGTAATAAGAATACTAAATAACACCAGTAAAAATACAAGAAGCAGTAGCAATGCTTAAGGAGTGACTCAGACTTTCCAAGACTATATTTTTTCATCTCCATGTTTCTGCTGTCTGCCTATTGGTAGCTTCAGAACAGAGCAAGCCTCTGCCCAACCTCTCAGCATTGGTTATGGACCTCTTGAAACTCATCATTTCCATTAATTAATTTTTTTTTCAGCAATATAATACTTAGAACAGCATGTATGCATCAAAAAATGTACAGTTTTGTCTGATGTCAATCCCACCTGCTCTAAATTTCCTTTCTTACCTTCACCTGGATATCTGCTTTTTCATTTGAACAGCTCATTCATCTTGTATAGTTGGATCTTTGATAGAAGTTGCTCCTTGGGGGTGGCAGGAATAACACTAATTCCAGAGGACAAGGAATTCCTGAAGGACTGCTAATTTTGAAGAAATGGGAGACAGGATCTGAATAACTGAAGGATCTTCACTGACAGTTTTATTTGACTGAGGTGCCCCAAATCTGATCCTATATTAATAATTTCCATCTGTAGTTATTTTGATTTACTACTTTTGTCTCCTAAATATAAAGACTTTTATATCACTGCTATTTCGCTAAATGGAAAGATGACACTTACTGTTATTATGTACAAAGAAGAAAAGGTTTCCAATGTTTTGCAGCAAGAACTGTGAATATAATAAAAGTATATAGTAACTGTTACTGAAGGCTGCACAAGAAATTTAAGAGTAGATGAAAAAAGAGGAAGAGATATTGTTTTTATTTGCATTCTACCAGCTTTGATGTTGCTACTGAAATGTCTACCTGTTCATTTACAGCGAGATTGTTTGGAGCTGGTCTTTAGTGCAAAATTAGTGTTGAGTATGCTCTGGACTAATAAAGGGAGGTTTTGAGGATTTGATTACTCTACACTTTATCTGCCAACCAGCAACATGCTTCCTCATCCAGAAGTTTTTTTTAACATTTTTCTCCCACTGTTTGGAGTTTGATAACCAATGGGTGGATTGCAATTGTCACAGCACATGAGATGTCTTTTTATGTCCATATCTTTTTATCTCTAAATAATGTTAAACTATTGCTGCTGAATTTAAACCCATTGAAGGTGAGCAGGGAATGCTGATTCCTTCATTCAAGTGGAAACTTGGAGCAAAAAAGAGCATTTATCTTCCTGATTCTTGGAGTATCCAGGAGGCCAGGGTTTTGCAACCAACAGAAGCTCCCCTACACATTAAGAAGTGCTGAAGTCAGTGAGCTGAGCCAATGCCACCACCTCAGTTCTCCAGCCTTTTGCAGCCTTTGAACAGCCAGAGCGACACAGCCTCTCAGAAATACTCCTAAGGGGCTCCTGCACCTGCAGCTTTTGTTTTCAGCTATGTAAGAAGCTCAGTCAAGCCCTGCTCCATCGTGGTTGATTGGAAAACATTTTGTGAGAGGAAGAGCCACTGCCCTGATGGAGATGACATTAATCCCTCCTGTCCCTTCCCACAGCTCCTGCTCAGGTGTACAACCTGAGAAAGGCTGTTCCCCCCTGAGAAAGCAGTGGCTCCCCAGTCAGGACCCACAGCAGAGGCTGTGGTGGGACAGTTTTGGTCACTTCTGCTGTCTTCATTAGTAACAGCAAATGAATGGAGCTGACCATTGGTCACTGTGAAAAACTTAGTTCTGCTGGTGTCATTGCCAGTTTTCACCCCTCCAACACCTTCTGAAATCACTATCCTAATTAGCCATAACTCTACAAAACCACCCCACCCCAGAGAAGCCACTATTTCAGTTATTCTTGTACCAGGAGCACACAAACGTGTCCAGAGCTCCAGACATATCCATCCTGGTTATGCCAGTGCTTCCTGTGCTGCTGCATTGCTCACAGCACAGAACTGGGATGTGGCACTATGTGCTCTTCGAGCTTCTGTTCAGGAGCACTCTGTGATGCCTCTTGTCTGAACAAAAGAGATGAAAGTTTATGTATTTACTTTCCTTCTTTCTCCATCTCTGCAGCAACTGAAATGCTCCTCTCCCTCTTTTTGGCAGAGCACTGCTTTACTCAGGATGCACTCTACAGGCCTGCCTTTCCCTTCCTACCCTAACTACATTTTTACAAGCACACTGAAACAGCTGTCTTGAGGTTTTCCTGTTCTTCTCTTTGTCTTGATCTACCTGATAATGGTGTTTTAGCTTCTACCTCCCAGACTGCAGGGTCTTGAAGTACCAACTTCATTGCTTCTTTTCAAATGGAATTGCCCCCCCCCATTTCAGGAGGGATGGGTGAAGAAATCTGGGTAGGACAGAAGGGCATGGAGCAAGCTGTTTGTAGTTTGAGATCTCCATCTCTTTTTATTTCTGGGCAGGGAAACATAAAAGAAACTATTTCCCCCTGAACTTTAATGAGCAATAATGTATTTTGAGATGTTTTTATATTTTATTGTTGTCTTAAGAATTTATGGGAATTTATAGGTCTCAATCAGACCAAATTGAGCATTTTTGCTCCTTGTATGATAAAATGCCAAAATCTGACAAGTATTTTGAGGCAGAAGGTCATCGTGTGGGGCTTTTAACTGTCTGTGTAAGTGACTTGAAATACTATTTGAAAGAATGGATTTACCTGGTCTGTATCTCCTCACTGGTGGATTAGGGAGAGGCAAACTGTACCCATAGTATTTAAGGTATGAAGGTTTACAAAAACTGCAGTATGTTTGAGAATTTTAATTTTTAAGTAATTGTCTTGTGGCTCCAGGAATAGTACAACTCAAGGCTGTGTCTCAATGGAAGTAAATGTAACTTCTCCATTATTGCTCATGACAAATTCTATAACATTTTATAACTTGGTTTTACAATCTGACCTTGATTTTATATTTTGGCTTATTTTTATAGAAGAGTTCTTCATAAAAATTCCCATTCAGGCCCATTTGGTAGTCCCAGACACTGATGGATGAAAGAACTTAAAAGTTACCTATAACTTCAAGTTGTAACAGCGTAAGTACATGATGGGAAAGGAAGAACATTTGACTCTCTAGCCTTATCCATAGCATCATTAATGCCTCATCTGGATGTGTTCTCACCACTTCTCCAGCGGAGAAACTGTCCAAGGAACACTGTTAGCTCTACGTGACCAGGTAGGTGCAAGGGGTGAGTGTCTGGTGATGTGCCCAGCTACATCCCGGACAGTATTCCTGGGAGCTACCCCTTCCCGAGCTCCCTGCGCGCTGCCGAAGGCGGTAGTTGGGAAGAAGCACGTGGAAAGCGAAGAGATGAGGCTGTGGCTGAGGACAACCCCTCCCTCGGTTGCCCCATGAGCTGCCGCCGCCGTGGGTGCAGCAGGGTGGGCAGGCACCAGCCCTGCCTGGCCGGGGTGCCCCGCGGCCGTGCCGTGCCAGGGCAGCCCGGCTCCCCGGCGGGGACAGCGCTGCACCCCGGCACGGCGCGGCGGGGGGAGCCGGAGGAACCGGAGCGCAGGGGCTGCGGCTCCCGGGACAGCGCCGGGACAGTGCCTGGCCGGGCACGGTAGCGCCGGGGCAGGGCTGAGGTGCGGGTGCACGGCCGGGCAGCCACACGGAGCGGGGCCGGGGGCGGAGGGAGGGCGGGCGGCGGGCGGCGCCGGCCGGGCGGGGAGCGGGGCCGGTGTGGGAGCGGGGCCGGCGGAACTCCCGCAGCGCCTCCGTCCGCACCACGGAGCCACACGGAGCCGAGCGGGGCCGAGCGGGACCGAGGTAGGGCCGGGGCGGCGGGGCTGGAGCGGGCAGGGCCGGGCCGGGACCGCGGCACTTGTGCCCGCCCCGCCCCCGCGGCAGCAGCGCCCAAGGGCGGAGGGGCCGCCGCTCCCCCGGCACCGCCGAGGGTCGCGCTGGGGGCGTGGGGAGGTGGGAATGTGGGTAGGGAGGTGCAGTTTGGTGCCGGACTCCGCCTGAGGAGTTTCCCTGGACTTTGCCGGTCGAGCGCTCCTGGCTGGCAGAGATGCCCCTGGCTCCGGCGTGCGCGGTTCCCAGTGTAGCTCAGTAACCGCAGACTTCAGCGGCAGTTTGTAGTACGGGTTACTAACGCCTGTCTTTTTTTTATCTTTCATTTTCTTTTTCTTTTTCTTTTTTTTTTTCCTTGCCTTTTCTTTTCTTTTTTTTTTCCCTGTACCTTTTTTTTTTCCCCCCCTGCCTGGGAGGTTTTCTTTTTGCCAGCAGAAATATCCTGGGAGCAGAGATGGGAGATAAAGTGCAAAGCAACTCTCAGAATGGGTTTCTGAATTGGTCTAAAAACCAAGTTTGAGCTTCAGCGAGGGCACTGGGAAGTCGAAGGCTTCAGTGTCGGTTAGGATAAAGCTTTGAAACAAGAAATTGTGAGAGGAGAATTGTTTGGAAGATGTTAGGACATTGTTTTGAAAATAAATGTTTAACAGTGAGAAGAGAAATGGAGTGCGATTGTAATCTCTAAATGCTCCAGTTTGAGTATTTCACTTTTTACTGTGGCTGGGCTGACGTATACTGTCATTCTAGGAGCGTGTTGCAAAAACGTTTGTTTAACGTAGGTTAACCACCAGAATGGTTTGTATGGTTTCTCTTACTGCATGTATGAGAGCATTTTGTATTTTATATGTTATTTTGTGTATCATACACATGCAGAGACTCTAAAGATCCTGTAGGCTATATTTGCATTGTATAATGCATGCAGATAATTGTTTTACCCCGTGACTGATGCGCTTACAATGTGATGCCATATCATATCACACAGAAAACCGGAAAATTAGATTTGTACCACAGGCTAATATTATGGAATTTCTGCTTCAAATGCCATTTGAACAGTGGTATGCCTTTTACAGTGTTGTGTATATTTGTTTTTAATATTGCAGATGCCTTTTGACTGCAAGATTGCTGAAATGCTTTGAGGGCTGTGCCTCCCTTCCTAACCATGAACGGTTCAAAATCACCGGGGCTGGCTGGATTTGGAGTCTTGAGGAACACAACCTGCCACACGGAGAAGAAAATTTCAGTTTTCTTTTCAATAATCTTCATGACGGTGGGAATTTTGTCCAACAGCCTCGCCATAGCAATTCTCATGAAGGCATACCAGAGATTCAGGCAGAAATCAAAAGCCTCCTTTTTGCTTCTTGCCAGTGGCTTGGTTGTCACAGATCTCTTCGGCCACCTCATCAACGGAGCCATTGCAGTGTTTGTGTACGCGTCGGATAAAGACTGGATCCGATTTAACCAGTACAACATTCTTTGCAGTGTTTTTGGCATCTGCATGGTTTTCTTTGGTCTGTGCCCACTCTTCCTGGGCAGTGTGATGGCCGTTGAACGGTGCATTGGAGTCACTAAGCCAATATTTCACTCTACAAAAATGACTTCTAGACATGTGAAAATGATGTTGACTATGGTATGTCTGTTTGCTGTTCTTATAGCTTTGCTGCCTATTCTTAGGTTTAGAGCCTACCAAATTCAAGCATCGAGGACCTGGTGCTTCTATAAAACAGAACATGTTGAGGACTGGGAAGACAGATTTTATCTCTTACTTTTTTCTTGCCTTGGGTTACTGGCCCTTGCTATTTCATTCTTGTGCAATGCTGTCACAGGAATTACCCTCTTAAGAGTCAAACTTAAAAGTCAACAAAGACAAGGGAGATCTCATCATTTTGAAATGATCATTCAGCTCTTGGCTATAATGTGTGTTTCTTGCATTTGCTGGAGTCCATTCCTGGTAAGAGCCTAATGTGTTTGCCAATGTTTAATGCACATCACTGTATAAAAGTTATACTTTTTTATCTCCAGGTTTTAAAGTGCTTGAGCTGTGGTAACAGCTCTATTTGCTCAATGATACTAATTTTAATGCATATTGTCCATAATGCATGTACCTATGCATCTATAAAAAAACTTGGTAATTATTCTCCACTTCTGAGCATAAACAAAATACATTGAGTAAGCCAAATATATAGGGACTGTGAGGACTGTATTTCCAGTGCTGTGAAGCAGACAGTGGTAGCAGAATGGTGGCTAGAATAAATCGGAACAAATACTGAGCTTGTCCACAAATTCAGTGAAATCTTGAAGGGGGAAGTCTTTTTAGTCTGAACTGTGGTTCCTGTAACTTTTTTATTTACGGCAGCCTGTTTGTTGTTATTTTCACAGTTTACTGCTATACTTGTGGACTGTGTTATGGCAGGTAACAGTTAAGAATTTAAAAATCCTCCACTCCATTAACAGGGCGTTAAGGGCTTTGCTTTAGAGTCGTGTTGAGAAACAGGGGTTGGCAGTGGGTTAAAATAACGTTTGGTTTAGCCCTAAGCAAGCTGGGTTTGTAATCTGGACGGCTGACTAGCAAAGCTGCTGTGTGTGGTTGGTGTGCTCTCTCAGCCATCCCAGCTGTATCTTGGGGCTCTGCTGTCACTATTGTGGCTCTCCCAGAGTGGTAAGTGCTGCTCCTGTTAGGGCACACTCTAAGCCAAAGGAACCAGGATTGTGGTACAGGAAAGAATTTGACAGCTGCTGTTGTGTGATGGCATTGTAAAGCTGGTATAAAGCTGTAACTCTTTTTAGTGTAGTAAACCTGTCTGGAGAAAATGAATTTTTTTGCTCAGGTCAGAGAGGTTAAGTTACAAGCTGTATTAAATCTTAACTTCTTTCCTGGAAACAAGGCCCCGTAGTTTTTCAGGGAGATAAATGAGGAGCAGTTTTGGTTTGAGCTAACAAATAGAGACATTTACATCTGAGATCTGTATCAGCTGTATCTCATCTGCTCACTGCCTATGGTAGGGTATGAAATCACCTGAGTTAGTTCTAAATTAGATACTGATATTAGCCTTGCTGCAGCAGTTGGGTGTATCTGGCAGGTAGCATTTAATTAATCCAGTATCACAGACTTTAAGGAGAAAGTCTGAATATGAATTTCTGCATCACTGAAATGCACAAAACCTCTTTCACTTTTGTTCATATCACAGAATTTTTCTAGTCTGGCTCTGCAGCATAGTTTAAATTCGTGTGGGCTTCTGTCAGTGTCGTGGCTGTAGTGTGGAAAGCATAAACAAAGTTGTCACAGCAGTATAGCAAGTTTTGTGGTGAACTTCCTTCCAGTTACTTCAGACAACTTCTGAAGTTTGTCTGGGACAAACCACAGAGTGATTTTTAAGGAGAGCAACTCAAATGATGACTTTACATTCCATGAAAACCTCTGGTGACATTTATTTTCAGGTAAAATAATTGTTCTCAAAGGTAAGAATTAATTTGGTTTTTAAAAACCCTTGGGTGTCAGAAGACCTACAAACTTTTTTAATTCAAAAGAGGTGCTTCATTTATTCAACATACGAAGGAACACTAAATTGCAACCACTGTGGTTGTTTTTCAGTGTTGGTAATTTTGTTATGCCTTTCCATTTTTATTAATTGTACTATATATTGTACTAAGGATGGGGTCCTTTGTAGGTATTTCCTTTCTTAGCTCTTAGGATCGTAGAGTTTATACCAGTTAATTAATTGAATTACCCAGTCTTTATTTTCATGGCATTCTATTCACTGAATACAAACAGAATTATAAGTGTGGTGTTAATTTAGCAAGATTTTTTGGCCTGCAGTGGAATAAAGCTTTGTCAGGAACATACTGCTCAAGTGCTGCATTAAAGTGATCCAGGGTTTATCAAAGTGTATGATTTATGATGAATTGCTGACTCAAACCTGCTTATCTTATATATCGTCACCTCTCAGGGCCTTTAATTTGTGAAATGAATTATAGAATATAAATGAATTTATATTCTATAATATAATCAGCATGTACCAAAGTAAGTCTTTCTTGACATGAATATGAGCAGGTGTCCATAGGTGAAATTATCTGGAAATGATTGTTCTTCAATCATTTGCTTCTTAACTTTTTTTTTTTTTAAAGCTCAATCTAGAAGTCAGTATTAGTCTTTGAATTGTGAATTTTAACTATGTTCTCTATGCCAAAGAGTACACAGAACAAAATGTTTGTGAGAGTCAATTGCCTCAATGTAAACCAAAGCAATTGGAAACCAAACAAACCTTTGGAAGAGAAAGTGGAGGAAGGCAATGTGGTTTATGCCACATGTGGTTTGCAGATAGGAGAGTTTGGATTGGTTGTGTGATTTCCTGTCTGATGTGGGGGTTTGCTTTGTTTATTTTCCTTCTGCTTTCAGTCTAGTCTGGTGTCATGTCTGCTGATGTATGTGCAGGGCCACCAGAATCAAGTCCAGTACTGTAATTCCACTACGAATTGACTTCACTGTTAGATTTCCAATCAATTCCATGTTTTTTTCCAAGTGCAGTTAATATTCAGACATTGTCACTGTCCTGTGACAAAATCACCTTTAGATGTCATTAGAGTCCCAAGACCCTGGATTGTCCTTTATGGTGTCTGGTGTGGAACTGAACTTGACTTGTGCATCTGCTCAGTGGTAGTGAAGTTGTTTTGATGCCTTTATGTGTGTGTAAATGCATAGATAGCTGACACTTAATATTATAGGTAATAATATATAGTTGTATAATCAGTCACCACCTTTACCTTAAGATTACTGGAGATGTGTAGCATTTTTCAGAAGCAGAGCCTGTGGTATGGCTTATGTGGAGCTCTGCCTGGAGCTGTTGGACAGGGACTTCCTTCTGATTTTTTTTTTTCCTTTCGATTTCTTTCCTGAAGCTCCATTTCATTTGTTTTTCAAACATGAGCAGCTTTTTCAAGTTTTCTGCCACTGTGAGGGAATCTTTCCTTAATGAAGTATGAGAATGAGGGGGAACATTGATCTGCTTTTGAGGAACTGAGAGGGGGAGCGAATTCGCAAAAAAAGGTGACAAGTGAAATTCATGAGTTTTATAATAATATGTGTAGTCAATAATATACATAGTCAATTTGCAGAGGCACATTTGTTATGACAGTACAAATAATTTTGCTTTATGGTGGGTAATTCCAGGTAAATATGTTCTGAAGATAGAAACATCAACTTCTCTGCATAGTGTCATCATTTCTCATCCTTGCTAGAGCCTTAGCCCTTTGCTGGGGGTATGTGAATTTTGCTGGATAAATTTGATCCCAAGGGGCTGGATTCCCAAAGCAAATAGTTGGGCTGGAGCATTTTGTGACGAGCACTTCTGATGAAATAGATTGTTATATAAAGCTGGTTTTTGGCTGTGACTTGACATCTGGCCTGTCATGAAACGGCTTGGTTTTGGAGCTGTGTTTGTGTGAGCAAATTCTGGCTTCAGTACGTCATATTCTGTAGGGCTTGAGGGATAAACATATTTTAAATTTTGTTTTTTGGAGTAGCAAAGAGAACTGCCTGTAATTGTGGACAGGAGGGATTTATTTTAGAGGAATAGAAAAAGATTGTGATACGGAGAAATTTCTGATCTTTTTCATGTGTGCAACACAGTCTTAGCCTGAGAAAAATGCTTCTACATTCAAATTATTCTTGTTAAGATCTTTTTCCATGCAGTTATCTGATTAATTTCATTCCAGTTTTACCTCCCCTATACAGCAGAAAATAACCACTCCTGTTTTTTTTTTTTTTTTGGAAAGGGCTCAGCTGTTCATTTTATACGATTAAATCAACTCTTATTCAGTTGCTTTTTTTACTGCATAGATTAATTTTTATCAGTCCCTTCTCATGTAATCTCCTCCCCACAATTTTGCCTCTTAATGAAGGGTGCATTGGTATTTTTTTTTTTTTTTTTTTTTTTTTTTTGTTTTTTTTTTTTTTTTGGAAAGGGCTCAGCTGTTCATTTTATACGATTAAATCAACTCTTATTCAGTTGCTTTTTTTACTGCATAGATTAATTTTTATCAGTCCCTTCTCATGTAATCTCCTCCCTTTCCAATTTGTTGTGCTAACTGTGTCTTTCTGATCTTGCTCTGACTTCTTCTTGTCCTCAGATGCAGTGGGGCTTGATGGCTGGTTTTTGTGCACTTAGGGCTGTGTCCAGCTTAGAATTTACTGAGTCACTTCAGCCTGGAAGCTGCTGGAGCTGATCTGAGGGGTCCTTTCAACAAAGGTGCTTCTGGAGCTGGTGAGAAGGGCAGCTGTGTGCTGCCAGGGAGGCTCTCCTTGGAATACCCTCACCCCATCCCACCCTGCTTGCTCCATCAGGTATTTTGGGTACTCAGATCATATGTGCCAAAGGAGGTCACTTTGTTGCAGGTTTTACACTAAGTAAGTTCTAATTGCATACAGTATAAGGTAGTTTGGTGTACAAGGCAATCTGTGTACATCTCATTTGGGTGTTTTTACATGTGTAGTCACGTCCACACGTGCATAGTGACACTTTGCCAGGAGTTCATACCCCCTTTACCCTTGAAGTCTCTCCCTGCATTCTTGTTTTCTGTCTTTTTTAGTAAGCTGGCAGTTTAAATTTCTGTTCTGCTACCTTATGCTTGTATGTGTGATGGGCATCATGTATTAATAAAGCTCATTGCTTTATTAATGCTGTTTGTATGCCTTCAAACATTGCTGGTTGTATTGCCCTACTACAAAAGAGTTACTTAGAAGTTATTCTCTTGCAGCTGGTGGTTTTTCATGATCAGAGAGTGCAGCTGAGGAGAAGCAGAGAGGTGTCCCAAGATGCAGGCCCACGCTCTGCCAAGTGAGTCTCTTGCCACCTGTCCAGCACAGCCCCCCAGATCTCCCCGGTGGCTGCTCTGCTCAAGTGTGTTCTTGTCTTACAGGTTTTTAGTCAAAGCTGCAGCCTCTGTGAGCTTGTT